CTTGCAGTCTCATGAACGCTGTGACATGCTGGTGCCAAGTTCCTCCTTTACCACTGGTCCTCCTGGGCTGGCAAAGCCTTGGGCACAAGAGTTGGCCTCACTGCAGTGAAGAACATATGTCTCCCCATCCTTAGAGCCCCACTCTGGCAACAAAGAAGCAGAGACTCTGCCTGGCATTATGATACTCACTCTCCCAGCTATTTCTGTCCTGGACACTACACTATACACACACACACACACACACACACACATTGTCTGGTACACACACACACACACACACACACACACACACACACATTGTCTGGTCCCAGTTCCTTGCTTTGTGTGTGAGAGTTGAGGGTTAAGGAAGACATCTTCCAGAGAAAAAACCTGCCTCTCCTTTGTGACCAATAATGCTGTCAGATCACAGGAAAGGACACAGTCCTCCCAGATTCCTGAGATCTGTGCTTTCTTTTCTTTTTACTGGGGGAGATGGGTGGGTAAGGGGGTTAGAGAACTACTGGGGATTAAACTCAGAGCCTTTGAACTTGCTAGGCTGGTACTTCCCTGGTGCCATGATCCCGGTACTTTGTTATTGGAGGCTGTTTTCCAGGTTTGCAGGTAGGGTCTTGTACTTTTACCCAGGCTGGTTTTACCTACTGATCCTAGCCTACCACACCTGGCCCTCATGAACTCCTTGTCATTCATTGCCAGCTCCACTTCTCCACCCATATGGCTAATGGACAAAGTGAATAAACTACAAGCAAAGTCTGTAGCATCTCCTGTCTGGAACCATCTTTCTGCCTACTGAGACCCTCAACTTCAAAATCAAAACTGCATCCACGTGTGGAAAATCCTACTGACTCTCCAAGATACATCTAGAGCCCAGTTATTTCAATCATCTCCAAACACAAGGCACAGGGAGCTGTCTCAGGCTCGCCCATATCCTTTCTCTTCCTCAGGTTATACTCTTCCAGACCAGGCAGAAGCAGGAGGTTCAGTTAATCTGATGAGTTCTAAACCAGCTTGGGCAACATAGTGATACTCAAAAAAGAAAAAAAATCAGATCTCTCACACTCAAAAACCATCCAAAGTCTTCTCGTCTGCTTAACAGTCACAATGATCCTCACTACCTGATGCCTGACACAACCCAGTACACTTGGTACCCCACACACTTTTCCTTACCTCTTCATCCCTTTGTTTGCTTGTTCTAGACACACTAGCCTCTTGCTCTTTTTGAAATAAACTAATATTCCTACCCCAGGGTCTTTGCATTTGCTATTGCTTCTGCCCAAAGTAATCTTCCCTTCCCTCAGAATCTGACCACAGATTCTTTGATATACTTCCCTTTAAGAATGGAGCCTCAGCTGGACACCAGTGGCTCATGCCTGTAATCCTAACTATTCACGAGGCTAAAATCTGAGGATCTCAGTTCAAAGCCAGCCAGGGCAGGGAAAGTACATGAGACTCTTATCTCCAATAAATTAATCAGAAAACTGGAAGTGGCGTTGTGACTCAAGTGGTAGAGCGCTAGCCTTGAGCTGAAGAGCTGAGGGACAGTGTCCAGGCCCAGAGTTCTTAGACTCACGAATGACAAAAAAAAAAAAAAAGAAAGGAGTCTAATCTGTCATCTGCTTGGTGGCTCAGGGCTAAGGACTGGAATGAAATAGAAGTAGCTCAGAGGCTACTTCATAAACAGCACCAGGGCTTCCTTCTTTTTTTTTTTTTTTTGCCGGTCATGGGGCCTGAACTCTAGGTCTGGGCGCTGTCCCTCAGCTCTTCAGCTCAAGGCTAGCGCTCTACCACTGGAGCCACAGCGCCACTTCCGGCTTTTTCTGTTTATGTGGTGCTGAGGAATAGAACCCAGGGCTTCATGCTTGCAAGGCATGCACTCTACCACTGAGCCACCTTCCCAGCCCCAGGGCTTCCTTCCTGTTTGGCTGTCTTGGGTGGCTCATGTTAGGGGCAGCTAGCTACCACCTCTTGAGGGCATTTAGGCAGCTCTGCAGAGAGCTGAAGCCTTTGGCCAACAGCCCTGACTGAGCCGCCTGGGTCTGCCACCCTGCCACACCTCCCACACCTGCACCTGCTTCATGCAGCCTCCAGCACCCCTACACCAGAACCACCCAGCTGAGCCTCTCCTGGACACTGGCCCTCATTCTTGACCCTCGGCCCCTGTGAGAGCTAATAAGGCTCTTCCTTTAGTGTCTGAGTCTTGAGGTCATTTTATGCATTTACAATAGACCCATGTGTGGCTTCCTCATTCCCTTCACGTTTGTGCTGCAATGACACCTGTGCACAGATAGCTTCCTGACCACACCTGTCCCCGCCCATCATGTATGGTTCTCTCAACTTCGTGCTGTGTACAAGTTCCACATGCGATTGCCTCCACCCTAGTACACACTGCCACTTCCATGAGGGCTGAGGACTTACGGGTGTATGGTAGAGATCCAGTAAGTATCTGCTGGGTGAATAAATGAATGCACACCCCCTCTTCATCTCTCTGTTTCATAAACTGAATTGTAGTTCTTGTTAAATCATCATCATCATCATCATCATTTTGTGCTGCTACTGGGGCTTGAACTCAGGGCTAGGGTGCTGTCCCTTAGCTTTTTCACTCAAGGCTGACTCTCTACCACTTGAGTTACAATTCCACTTGTGGCTTTTTTTGGGTGGTTAAATGGAGATTCGAGTCTCATAGACTTTCATGTCAGGGATGGCTGTGAACCTTGATCCTCACATCTCAGCCTCCTGAGCAGCTAGGATTACAGGCATGAGCCACTGGTGTTCAGCTTCTTGTTAAATCTAGATGCAATTTTCTAAGGATTTGGGAAAGGTCATTTGGTTTCTTTTGAACAGGTCACCCAGATTCATTCCTAAGACTAGTTGGCCCTAAGGACCTTGAAGCCAATGGTGCGTCTTTCATACTTGACTGATGATCAGTTTCCAAGGAGTTTCATTTAGTCAAATGGGCTCCAAAAGACACAAACAGAGCCAACACTAGATATCCCAGAGGGAAGGCTAATCTGATTGTCCTTGGTGCCAGGACATTTAAGTCTGTCATGGGTGGCGAGCCTGCAGTCATGTGGTGCCCGAGGGGCAGCTGTATCAACAGGCCCCTTGCAGGATGTGGCCAGAGATCAACTTCCAAATAAAAGAGAAAGGAGATGTGGGTTGGGGGGTGGTGGGGGGAAGAAGAAATGGTACCTGCCCTGGTATAGCGAGGAGCTGCTGGCAGGGCGAGGTCAGAGGGGACACATTTTCTGTGAGGGCTTGAGTTCTTAGAAAGCCTGGTGCCAACTGATGTTGGGCAATCATTGCTGCTGGCTATTGGCCAGGCACACCTGGTGCCCTTCCAGAAGGTGCCATAGCTTGACATTTTGTCCGCTGTCTCCACCCCAGACCAGGCTGCTGGTGGTGGCAATGCTCTTGGGGATACTGTGGCAATGACCTGCCCAGATCCCTCCCCTGCTATCATAGGACCAGGTGATAAAACATGTTTTTCTGTTCACAGTCGTGGGGTGAGTCCTCTAGGCAACAGGTGAACTTGGGGAGGGAGAAGGAGCAGCCTGGGCATCTGGGCAAGGCCCTTGCTGTGGAGTTCTTGTTTCTGTTTTTGTGATGGCGCTCAGGCTTGAATTCAGGGTCGCATGCTCTCCATCGCTTTTTTTTTTTTTCCCTTTTGGTTCCAGCCTGATACTTTGCCACTTGAGCCGCCGCAATGCCATGTCTGGCTTTTCTCTCCTCTCCTCTCCTTTCTTTTCTTTTTCCTTGTTTAGGTAGTTGTACAAAGGACCTGCCATTTAATACGCCCCTCCCCACCTCTTCCTTCCCTCTTCTTAACTTTGTAGGCTGTACATTGGATTCTTGTCTGTATTTCCCCCCTCTTCTCCTCTTTGCTGGTTAACTGGTTACAAGAGTCTCAGGGCCTTTTCTGCCCCGGGCTGGCTTTGAACTGAATTCCTCTCCGTCTCTCCAGGCATGAGTCACCAGTGTCAGGCTAAGTGCTGTGTTTATCAGCTGGAAAGTGGCAGGGTTTTTTTTTTTTTTTTGGGTCCCCATACCCTTTGAAAGGCTCCAACCTCCTCTGAGCGGGTGTGGCCCCCAATTCTCAGGCTCATCTGTTACGTCCTTCCCTGTGTCTGTGGGGGGGTCTCCGCGCTCAGGGCAGCCTGGCTATGAGGAAATCCACACTCCGGCCTCCCTCCCCGTCTCTTCTCCCCACCCCGACCGGCAAGTGCCCCCACCACATTCCAGAGGCTGGAATTTGTCCAGTGCACTCGCCTAGTGAACCCCAATCTCGCCCTTCCCCAGGCCCTGGCCGCACACTTCCTGTCTGGGGTAAGTAGCTAAGTGGAACTCACACTTGGCGCCCGGTGAGGAGGGCTGCTGCGCAGAGCGTGTTCTGTCCCGATGGTGTTTAAACGGTTGATCTGAACAGTGTGATTTCAAGAAAGTGGACAGGAAGCTAGCGAGAAAAGGCGAGGCCGGGGGGAGTCCCTGGCCAGGGCGCGTGGCCCCAGCGAGGGGCCTGGCCGCACCCTGACCTCGGGCAGGGGAAACTGGCACCGTGGGAGAAGGGTCAAGTGTCACGGGGCGGGTCACAAATAGCTCGGGCTTGGCAAGCCCAGCCCGGAAACTGGCGTTCAAGGGCAGAGAAAAGTTACCCGGCCGGGCACCGGGGAGGGGGCGCTGAGGCCGGGGATGGCGCCGCGCGGCCCCGGGGAACGCGGTGAGCCCGCACGGGGCCTGCCGAGGGTCCGCTTCCGTCTCAGAAGGAGGTCCACACGCCTGCCCGGGCCCCTCGGTGGTTCTCGGAGCGCTCAGTGTCTCCCGCTCGATCCTGATCGCGGGAGCTGGCGGAGAGACCCTAGCCAAGGTCTCCGGAGCCGCGGGAGGCGCCCCCCGAGGCGGCCGGGGGCCCTGCCGAGGCCGCCGCCGCCCCCGGAAAGACCTCGCTGCTTTCTTTCCCACCCCCCTCCCCGTCCCAAGGCTCGGCGGCACCCCACACCCGCGCCGGGAGCTCGCGCCTCACGCCCCCGAGGCCTCGGGCTTCCCCTGCCGCTGCCCCTCGTGGCGCGCAGCCCCGGGCAGCCAAGGAGAGAATCTCCGCTCGCCGGTGCCCCAAGCCTGGCCCGCGCACCCGCTGCCCGTGGACCCCGGATTCCCGGTGCTCACGATCACCCGTGCCGAGCCGGCCAAGTCCGCCAGCTCGGGTCCCCCGCCGCAGCCACTGCGGGCTCTCGGCTCCCGCGCCCTGCTTCCCCCGAAGAGCGGCAGCCCGAAGCGGCCGGCCCCCGCCGGCCTGCCCGGCCCGGCCCTGCTCAGGTCACTGCGCCCGTCCGCCGGGCACCGCCTCCTTGTCCCCACCCCGAGGCGGCTCGCCCTGCGCGCCTCGACGCGCAGCGGGGTGGGTCGGGCACCGCCGAGGCCGCGAGTGGAGACGGAACGCGCTCAGCCCCGGGCCACAGCAGCGCGGCCCGAGGGCGCACGCAGGACCCGGACCAGGTAAGCAGCGCGACCCGCCGGGCCTGGGCGTTGGCCTTGGCTGAGCCGAGGGACCTGTGCGGAACCTGCGCGCCTGGGAAACCCCGAAACCCCGCCACTGCGCCCCAAGGCTCCTCCAAAGTCCACAGGCAGGTGTTTGTCGCCCTTCACCTGGCTCTGCCAGAGCATCGGAGATGGAGAGGTGCTGTTGGTTTGGAAATGCCTTTTGCCAAAAGCAAGAGGAATAGCGGGGAGGGGAATTGGTTTGGGGAAGAGTTCAGCGTTACATTTTCGCTTTAATGATCTAATTAATGTGGGTCCATCTCTGCGGGTGGTGGTGGAGGCACAACTCCACCACCCCCCCCCCCTTCCAGCTACTCGATGTTTGTTTGTAACGCTTGTCCAGAGAAAAGTCAGTTACAGGTCCAGCTTGAGCTTCTATTCACTTCCTTGGTGTTTGGGAATTCGTCTTAAGATGAAGCTGAAGCCCCTAGCTCTCACTACAGAGTGGAAGATAGCTACCAGAAACACAATGAGTTCCTCACAGGACTTTGTAGCCAAGAGCCAGCCTTATCTCTGAAACCAGCCAAGGAGATTATATGAGTCAGAAACTGTTTTAAAATTAGTGCAATGCTTTCATTAAGTCTTTCTCTCGCCTTAAAGGCATCGCAGACAACGTGGTTTTTCGAAGTTTGAGATGAAAGGTTATTTCTGTTCTGTATTTCCTTTTTTCCCCTCCACTTCCTTGTGATTGTATCGTGCATTTTCCTGGAAAAGTACTTCCTAGTATATCCTCAGATGTCTGCTTCCCTTACCTAAACTGATCTTCCTTCCTCATGATTTTGGTTTTGCAAGATGGTTTTGGCCTAAAGAACCTTGGACTTAGGCTGTGCACTGGTGGCTCACACCTGTAATCCTAGCTAATCAGGAGGCTGAAATCTGAGGATCTGCCTTTCAAAGCCACCCCGGCCAGGAAAGTCCATGAGACTCTTATCTCCAGTTAACCACCAGAAAACTAGAAGTGGCGCTGTGGCTCAAGTGGTAGAGCTACCCTTGAGCTGAAGAGCTGAGGGACAGCACCCAGGCCCAGAGTTCAAGCCTCACAACCACACACACACACACACACACACACACACACACCAAAACAAAACAACAACAACAAAAAAACAGAAAAAAAACTCACATGGTTTCCCCCCACCCCCACTCCACTCCCTTTTTAGTCTTTTTTTTTTTTTTTTTGTGACAGCACCAGGCCTTGAACTCAGGGCTCTTGCTTATCTCCCTACTCCCCCACAACACCCCCCACCCAAGGCCAGCTTCTACCATTCGAGCCACAGCTCCACTTCCAGCTTTTTGCAGTTATTGGAGGTCAGAGTCAATGGACTTTTCTGCCTGGTTGTCTTCTAATTGAGATCCTCAGATCTTATCCTCCCTAGGTAGCTAGGATTACAGGCATGAGCCATCAGAACCTGGATATGAGTTTCGGTCTTGGATTCTTTCATGTGACCACGGGTATGAGTGACACAAGGTATTTTTAGGTTTTCTTTGATGGAAATGTTCTTGTTGTTGTTGTTGTTATTTTTTTGGGTCCGGTCGTGGGGCCTGAACTCTGGGCCTGGGCGCTGTCCCTCAGCTCTTCAGCTCAAGGCTAGCACTCTACCACTTGAGCCACAGCGCCACTTCCAGCTTTTTCTTTTTGCTTATGTGGTGCTGAAGAATCGAACCCAGGGCCTCATGCATGCAAGGCAAGCGCTCTACCACTGAGCCACCTTCCCAGCCGCAAATGGAAGTGTTCTATAGGCTTTGGACTGTGTTTGAGGACCTGTATAAGGGCTTTTACCTCCATTGGAGAAAGGCAAGATAACTGGCTGATAGACTCTATGAACCATGAACTAGTTGGCTTTGAAGACTGCTTGGTAGTTAGTATATAATACCCTCTGAGTAGGAGATTGGGGTGGGGGTTGTAGAAGATGCTTTCCCATTGGCTTCCACTTAGGTCCCTTAGCTTTTTTTTTTTTTTTGGGTCCGGTTGTGAGGCCTGAACTCTGGGCCTGGGCGCTGTCCCTCAGCTCTTCAGCTCAAGGCTAGTGCTCTACCACTTGACCACAGCACCACTTCTGGCTTTTTTTTTTTTTTTTACTGCTTATGTGGTGCTGAGGAATCGAACCCAGGGCCTCATGTATGCAAGGCAAGCGCTCTACCACTGAGCCACCTTCCCAGCCCTCCCTTAGCTTTTTTGATCAAGGCTAGCACTCTATCACTTGACCCACCCCTCCACTTTCAGCTTTTTGCTGGTTAATTGGAGCTAAGAGTCTCAGGGACTTTCCTGGGCTGGCTTTGAACCTTGATCCTCAAATTTCAACCTCCCTTATCTCTAGCATTACAGGTGTGAGTCACCAGGGCCTGGCTCCTCAGGAACCAGGTTTTGACAGAATTAATGTAAAAGTTCTCACACCTGCTGTCTTTGTGAAAACTGCTGAACTTGGGTCGTCTGTCGTGGTAGCGCTAGAATAAAGCATGGGATGGAAATTTGCCCAAGTCCAAAAGAGCAAGTGGAAAGTTAGTTATAGAGAAAAAAAATCAATGTGGAAATGCCTGGAGCTACAGTGGTCAACTACTGGGCGTCTGGAAATCAGAGCCCCTATGGCTCTTCCCTCATGCGCTATTTTCTGCTTGAGGAAGTGAATTTGTAAGTCTCAAACAGGAAATACCACGCCCAGTTATTTTCTTTTTTATAAGATACTCTTATCTCAGATGCAAAGTTGCTGCCTTCCCTCTTTTGGGGGGGAATGTCTTCATAACATTTCACAATGAGGAGTTTGTGAACGCCAGTTCTTCTGACTCATAAACCAATGCATTGTTCTGCACTGTGTCTGCTGTCTAAGGTCCTACCTGCTGTGACCTCAGCCTCCAGTGGAGATTTCTGAACCGGCCAGCAAAAGAACTGAGCTGGTCAGGAGTGTCTGGCCCTATTTAATTCCACATTCCTTAATGTTTGCAGAGCTCAAAAAACAGTCGGAGGACAGGAAACACGCCTCGCCTCACCTCGGGGAAGGAAGAGGCCTTTTCTGGCCATGTCTTCTGTAGCAGCTGCTGAACCAGATGGGGACCATCGGGATGGGCATGTCACCAAGCTCATTTTCTTCCTTTTTGTCTTCGGGGCCGTCCTTCTGTGTGTGGGAGTTCTGCTGTCCATCTTTGGGTACCAAGCATGCCAATACAAACCCATCCCAGACTGCAGCCTGGTGCTGAAGGTAGCTGGGCCTTCGTGCGCAGTGATTGGGCTTGGGGCTGTAATCCTGGCCCGCTCTCGGGCAAGACTTCAGCTCCGGGAGGGGCGACAGCCAGGCAGCAATCAGGCAGACAATGATCAAGCCTTCATCTGTGGAGAGAGCCGCCAGTTTGCCCAGTGCCTCATCTTTGGTTTTCTCTTCTTGACGAGCGGCATGCTTATCAGCATTCTGGGCATTTGGGTCCCTGGATGTGGCTCAGACTGGGTACAGGAATCCCTGAATGAGACTGACACTGTGGACACAGAGCCCCCGATCTGTGGGTTCCTCTCTCTGCAGATCATGGGCCCCTTGATTGTGCTGGTGGGATTATGTTTCTTTGTGGTTGCCCACGTAAAAAAGAAGAACAACTCCAGCATGCACCAGGACACTGCTGAGGGCGAGGAGGGGCACACCCAGAACACGGAGCCTGTCCAGGTCACTGTAGGTGAGTGGTCATTCCAGAGCAAGCTTGCTGGTGGGAAAGACAGTATCTTTGGCCTGAGGGTTTCACTGGGGTGCTCTCTGATCTGGATTGGGTTTTTTCTCACTTCCTCTCACACACCTGTGTGCACGCATTTAGGCCTGTGCACATGTACACAGTGCCTCCTCTGTAGTCCACCTGTGGGAATCCTGGCAAGCATCATGTCCTCTCAGCAGCTAGACTCTGCAATAGAAACATTCAGTGGTGACCTTGACTGAAGTCACAGAGGAAAGTGAGGAGAACCCAGAGGACCGCCATGGAGACTGTCACTAGCTTCACACTGAAACTGTATAGCCCTTCAGGGGTGTGTGTGTGTGTGCGTGTGCGTGTGTGCGTGTGCGTGTGTGTGTGTGTGTGTGTGTGTGTGTGTGTGTGTGTGTGTGTGTGATGGGGGGGTCTTCCTCCCCTGTTGCTGACAGGCTTTCTTTATAAGCCATTCATCATTCCTGCCTCCACCTCCCGATGCATGTGGAGATGTGAGATCATTTCTAGGATGGACATTATAGGAGCCTAAGCCTGTCCCCTGTCTGTGGACTGCAGAGCTCTCAGGAGCTCTGTGCTGCTTTCTGCATTGCTCTTCATTTTCGGAACCTTCTCCAGGGGACAAAGTTTTCCAGATGGAGGCAAAATATGGCAGTGTTTCTCACCCCCTCCCCGTGGAATGCCTAAAATTCCTCTTAGGACCCCTGAGTTTGCAGAAGAGGTAGCGGATCCTTTCCCAGAATCAACTGCCCTCATAGCAGCATCCTTACCTCTGACCTTGGTGTCACGCAACCAAGGAAAAACCCATCGCTGCTCTTCTGCAAATCCTCCCCTGGCCCCTCTTATTCCCAGTCTCCTCTTTTTGAACGGTTGAAGTTCTGAAGCCACAGCAGTCTTGGCATAGGAGGGCTAAGTAGAGCAAGGGCCGCAGAGGGTCCACAGGAAGGAATGTGATAATGACATTTTTTCCTGTCGGGGCTTTCTTCTGTAGTCAGTGTTGACTGACTACAGATGGAGGGAAGGGACCAGACAAGATGCCGACCTTATCAGGAACGGCCTTTGCAGGGTGGGAGGTGGGGGTGGGGTGGATGGCTTTACAGGTATTCCTGTGCCAGTTTGGCCACAATGCAAATACTAATCATGTGTTTGATAGCTAATACTTCCAAAAGTCAATTCCTGTGCCAAACACTCACCTGAATACCTTAACATATATATTAAAGCACCTGCTGAGGTCAGTTCAGCCACACCTACAACAACCCCCTGAGGCTGACTTCTTATCTCTATGTCAGAGGTGAGGACTTGGAAGCACTGGAACATCAATGACTTACACCGGGACTCGAGAGCAAGTCCCCAGCATCCTTTACACCAGTGTGCAGGCCGAGTCCATCCTGCCCCTCCCCCTCCCTCAGCAGCCCTCCCCGGGCACATAGGTCTAAGTCAACCAAAGTCAACTGTTGCCCAGCACCAGCCTCTCATATCTGTAATCCTAGCTGCTCAGGAGGCTGAGAGCCAAAGATCACAGTTGGAAGCCAGCCAGGACAGCAGAGTCCTGGAGACGCTTATCTCCCATTAACCACAAAATCCCCAAATCCTGAGTTTAAGCCTTAGTACTGGCACATATAAAACACACACACACACACACACACACACACACACACACACACACAAAACAAACTACCAAGGAAAGTATTGAGCTCCTGAACACACAAGAGAAGCCATGCTCTGTCCATGACTGTGTTCTCCAAAATTTCATCCAAGCTGCACAGACAGAGACCAAACTCAAAGAGGTTGGTACTTGATTTCTGCAGCTATTGCGTGTTGTAGAATATATCCCTGTGTTTTGAGAAGGAGAAACTAGGGACCAGACCCACATCTTAGAATCCCAGTGCACTGCATCATGGGAATTTCCCAGAACATTCTAGACGGGTGGCTGGACCACTATTGGAGGTCCAAGGAAGGCCTCTGGTAAGATGGTGACACCAAATGATAATGTAGGAAAAAATAAAGGCAGAGAGAGAACTTGACTTCCTTGAAGAGAGGAGATTGGTGCAGAGATGTTAAAAGTCATTTGCCAATGGCCAGCCTGGCATGACCCTGAGCAAACTCTCTGCTTCCCTGGCCCCTGAAGCCATAGCCACACCGAGATGCCAGGGCACACTGGGCTCCACCCCGCATCCAGAACTCTGTGAGCAGTCCTCATCCCTGGGCAGGCGAGGGAACTAGTTTGTTAAGGCCTCACAGAGATGCTTTGGCTCAGACTCGCTGGGAAGAGGCCACATGCATACTGCAATGCTGGAGGCTCTGGACTTAGAAATAAAGACCCACTTAAAACACACACACACACACACACACACACACACACACACACACACAGATCCCCGGGCACCGGTGGCTCATGCCTGTAATCCTAGCTACTCAGGAGGCTGAGATCTGAAGACTGCGGTTCAAAGCCAGCCCAGGCAGGAAAGTCCATGAGACTCTTATCTCAAAAACAAAAACAAAAAAAACCCCCAAAACCCAGAAAACTGAAAGAGCTGAGGGACAGCACCCAGACCCAGAGTTCAAGTCCCTTGACCAACAAAAAAAAAAACCACAGATCAAGATACATTTGATCACATAAACTGCTTTGTTAAATTGCAAAAAATTCAATACATAACTTAAAATTAAGTTAGGGAAGGGGCAGGTGAGAATGTTGAAAAGGGTGACTTTTACTGCATTGCGTGAGTGACAGTTCCTTTGTACAACTACTTAAAGATAGTAAATATAAATATATATATATTTTAAATCATGGTACAATACCTGTAACAAAACTTACTTTGTTGTTGTTGTTGTTGTTGTTTTTGTTTTTGTTTTTGTTCTAGTACTAGGGCTTGAACTCGGGGCCTAGTCACTGCTCCTTAGCTTTTTCATGCAAGGCTAGCATTCTACCACCTGAGCCTCACCTCCACTTCTTTTTTGTTGGTGTTGTTGCTGTTTGTTTGTTTGTTTTTGCTGGTCCTGAGGCTTGAACTCTGGGCCTGAGTGCTGTCCCTGAGCTCCTTTTGCTCAAGGCTAACACTCTACCACTTGAAACACAGCACCACTTCTGGCTTTTTCTGTGATTAATTGAAGATAAGAATTTCACAGACTTTCCTGTCTATGCTGGCTTCAAACCATGATCCTCAGACCTCAGCCTCCTGAGTAGGATTACAGGCATGAGCCACTGGCACACAGCCTGTAGCCTTTTAAAGTAGTTAATTGGGATAAGAGTCTCACAGACTTTCATGCTTGGCTTGGCTTTGAACTCAATCCTCAGATCTCAGCATCCTGAGTGGCTAAGATTGATTACAGGCATGAGCCACCAATGCCTGACCATAACTTACTATGCCAACTACCTATTTTTTTGTTTTTGCTTTTGTTGTATTTTGTTTTGTCGGTTCTGGGGTTTGAACTCAGGGCCTGGGCTCTGTCCCTGAGCCTCTCTGTGCTCAAGGCTAGTGCTCTACCACTTGAGCCAGAGCACTACTTCCAGCTTTTTCTGTTTATGGGTACTGAGGAATTGAACCCAGGGCTTTATGCATGCTAGACAAGCACTCTACCACTAAGCCACATTCCCAGCCCCGTCAACTACCTTTAAATGTACACTCTGGGGGCTTAAGTGCATTCACAGCTTTGTACAGTCATCATCACTATCATTTTCTAAACCTTTTTATATTCCAATCAGAAACTTTGTACCCTTCCTCTCCCCAGTTCCTGGTAGCCTGTCCTACTTTATATATAACATTATTTCCTTTTTGATAATATTGGGGAATTTAGCTTAGGGCTTTGTGCTTGTTTGGCAAGCAGTCTAGTACTTGGGCAATACCTTACCTACTCTCAGCTTTTTACTTTTTGTTTTTGAGATAGGGTCTGGAGCTTTTGCCCCAGCTAACCTTGGACCTTGATCCTCCTACTCTACCTCCTGAGTAACTGGAATTAGAGGCATGAGCTACCTTACATGGACTTAATAGGCCTATTTTTACTTCTGGAGTGAATAACAACTATTTTGACCTTTTACTGTCTCTAGAAGGCCAGATATAGAACTAATTTATTTTGCTCTTGCTAATATGCTTTTAACCAAATATTGTGTTTCCTCAGGTGACTCAGTGATCCTATTCCCACCCCCTCCACCACCTTACTTTCCTGAGTCTTCAGTTTCTGCTGGAACTCGAAGTCTTGGGGCCCACAGCGTGCTTCCTTCTGAAAATCCACCTTCATATTACAGTCTTTTTCACCACAGGTAAGACTTGCTTGTGAACTTCCCAGGCCTAGGGCTGAATCCAGGCCAATTTAGCTCTAAGCTATGGCATAGAAGTAAATGTTAGTGGGCTGCGTATCTGAGGTTGTGTCAGAATTAGTTGACATTAACACAGGCTTTCAAGGGCTGTCAGGAACTCCTAAGTTATAATCCATGACAGGGTTAGTACCAAGCCTTCTCTGGACTTCCTTGGTGCTCCTAGCAGGGGTGGCCATTCAGTGTCTAACAGCCCATCCCCCATCTACCACACTGAGTTGTCCCTCCCCCCCCCCCCCCCATGTCCACACAAGGTCTGAGAGGCCCATGCCCTGTTAGGCTTTACTTTCACTGCTTCAGATTGTTGGCAGTCCCAGGCCCCGGGGGATCCCACCACAGGTACAGAAGGGTTTCAGTACGCTAACAGAGGTACTTGGCTGATGGGTGCAAGCAGCCTGCAGAGGACCTGGCCCAGCCCAGGCCCTCTCTTCGTGTTCAGCTGTTCCTGGGCCTCAGCCTCCTCAGAGTGGATTGAAGAGAGACATGAGGGCTACACCTCACCCTGCAATGAAGGCTGAGGGGCTGAGGCCCACTCAGGACCATGGTGCCATGGGAGGGGATGGGCAGGAGGCTGGCTGTGAGTAAGAGCAGGGGAGAGGATGATCCCAGGGTGAGTGACAGGGGAGCCCCCTCCCCCGAGAGGCCAGGAGAATGTTCTGTACCTGCTGGCAAAGAGGAAGAGTGAGCATAGACTTGAGGTAGACTGATACTGGGTAGGGCTAGGAAGGGGGGGAGGTGAAGGGGGAAGAGTCGAGGAGGGGACGGGAAGTACTGGAGATGGAGGTGTGACGTTTCTAAAACCAGGAGGAGGGCAGACCCTGAAACATTCCATGAAAGCAGAAGGCGTCCAGCAGAAGTCTGGAAAGGGCCAGGCAAGGACTTTTACGGCCCCCAGGCCCCTTCCCTTAGGGAGTGGGGCAATAGACAATGGGGAAACCTGGTAGTAGGCTGGGAAGAAAGGACTGTTGGGAAATGTCTAGGGGCATGGTGGGAGGCTGGAAGGCCCCAGTGAGCTCTGCTTTCCAGACCGAGAGATGTGTGCAGTTTTGAGAGCAGGGGCATAAAGTGGGGAAGGGTGTGTGGGACCTGGGGCAGAGCGCGCAAGGTCCAAGGCTGATGGGGTGAGAACCATGGCTGGAGCTCGGTGCTGTCTTCTTACCTTGCTGCCAGTGTCCAAGGCTCATGGCTCCTGTTCTCCACTGGAGGGCGCCCCCTGGGGAGTCCAGCTCTCCCTCATGCCCACCACCCAGGTAGAGCCGCAGGGCGCGCCTGGAGAGGGAGCAGCACAAACGCCTTTCCTCAAGGTGTTGGAGAGGGTGAAGTGATGTGGAGACCCTTTTCCCACACAAGTAGGGGGACAGGTTATCTGATGAGAGGGAAAATGGTGGCCGCAAGGGTGGAGGTGTGCAGTCTGTCAGTAGGAGGTGAGCAGAGGCCTTGCCCAATATGGAGAAAGGATGGGGTTAGGGCCGGGCAGTTGGGAAGGTGAAACAATGATATTTTTCCCCGCTCTCCAATGACAAACTTCCCCCGTCCCTACAAATCAATCAGTGTTTGTGCCCAGGGTCTGGCTTTTCTTACATTGTGTTCTGTGATTTGCAAAGCCACTCTCTTAGGAAAGTGGAGAAGAATGGAAAAGAAATAGGCCAGACTCCATTGTCAACAAGCTAGGACTATTTATTGCCAGCAAGATACACAGACCTTCCCCCATGTTTGGAGGTTGTTCGAGGGACTGGATTTGGAGTGGGCTTATATAGGCCCTAACAAGGAAGCAGAAAATAAAAATGGGCTATGGTCTCCTGGGGACCAAGGGCCGTATCCTTGGCCAGGCCTAGGTTGGAATAACCTTCCTGCCGACAGGCATGTGGTCAAGCCTGTTTGTGTGCACCTGGTGTCTTGCTTGACCTGGGAAAATTAGACAGGAATCAATCCTTCACACTCTGGGAGAAACAGATGAGGAAACTGAGGCTCTGAAAGGCTAAGTAAGGTGCACGGGGCCAGCCAGCTGGGGAACAGCAGAGTGGGAGTGGGATTCAGATGCTGGCCTGTCAGTTCGCAGAGACACAACAGTGGCCAAGCATGCCTTCCTGCTTCCTGGCAAGTTTTGGGATTGTTTTCATTCTCTTCTCTTCTCTTCTCTCCTTCCTTTCTTCCTTCCTTCCTTCCTTTCTTCCTTCTGTCAGCTGTGGGGCTTGAACTCAGGGCCTGAGTGTTGTCCCTGAGCTCTTTTGCTCTAAGCTAGTGCTCTTCCACTTTGAGCCACAGGGCCACTTCCTGGTTTCTGATGGTTCATTGGAGTTAAGAGTCTCATGGACTTTTCAGCTCAGGCTGACTCTGAATGAAGTCCGCAGATCTCAGCCTCCTACGTAGCTAGGATTATAGGTACGAGCCACCAGTGCCCTGCTGCTTTCATTTTGCTTTTTGCGTATGTTTGTCCAGCTCGTATTAGCTGACTCAGAAGACAAAAGTGGCAGAGGACAGCAAGTGTGCATGTGTACCAGTGTGTGTATCCATGCATGTATGTGTGCAGCAGTGTGTACACATATGTGCACACACATGTGTATGCATGTGTACGCACCATGAACGTGTGGGCAAGCATGTGCATGCATTCATGTGTGCGTATGTACATGTGTGTGCGTGTGTGCATTTTGTCTTCGGATGGCACATGTCCCTTTGTACTCTGAGCCTTTTCAGGGCAGTGACCACAGAAGCGAGGCTATCTTATAGTTACTATCAGCAGTTAGGAAATGTGGGGTAAGAAGCCCACACAGAGCTATAAAAAGCACCAGGTGGGAGAAATGACTCCGTAGGACTTTGGGATGCTTCGAAGAGTGTCACTGAACATTTGACACAACCTGGTACTTAAGGGTGCAGCTGTTTTTGTCATTCCCTTCATGACCCCTCTTCTTTTCAGCAGGACCCCAACTCCTGAGAGCGAGGGTGCAGTCTCTGCAGGAGGGCGGGAAGCTGTGTACACCATTTCTGGGACTAACACACTCCCTGAGGTCACACTCCCTTCACACCTCTCCTTGGACTCGCCCCCTAGATATGAAGAGAAAGAAAACCCCACGCCCCCCTCCTTAGCCCCATCTTCTGAGCCTTTTCCACCGTGAACTGTGGGAACCTGTGTAATTTTGTATATATATATATAACTGATCACTGTTTTCTGTGTTTTTTTAAATAAAAAAAATGCAACAGCATTGGCTGGGTCATTGTTTTCCTGGTCAGCATGGATAGCAGCAAGGGGTGTCCGGTTAGAATGCAGCTGTTGGTGTAGGAGAAGCATGTTGCTCTCCAGTCCCAGTTGTCCCTTTAGCACTGAAAGTGTGGGAGGGAGGCCAATTTTTGTTGTTGTTGTTGTTGTTCATTGTCAGTTGTGGGACTTTAACATAGGGCCTGGGCGCTGTTTCTGAGCTTTTTTGCTCAAGGCTAGTGCTTTACCACTTAGAGCCACAGCTCCACTTCTGATTTTCAGGTGACTAATTGAAGATAAGAGTTTCATAGTCTCTGGGCTGGGAAGGTAGCTCAGTGGTAGAGCGCTTACCTTGCATGCCTGAGGCCCTGGGTTCGATTCCTCAGCACCACATAAGCAAAAAGAAAAAAGCCAGAAGTGGTGCTGTGGCTCAAGTGGTAGAGCGCTAGCCTTGAGCTGAAGAGCTGAGGGACAGCGCCCAGGCCCAGAGTTCAGGCCCTACAACTGGACCACCCCCCCCAAAAAAAGAGTTTCACAGTCTCACAGCCTGGGCTGGCTTCGAACCATGATCCTCAAATCTCAGCTTCCTGAATCATTAGGATTCAAGGTGTGAGCCACCAGTAGCTGGTGGTAGGTGGAATTTTGATTAAATTGGCTTATTACAGACAAACAAACAAACAAACATGGCTCAGAGGAGTGAACTGACTTCTTCAAGGTCATGCAACTTGCAAATGCTGAGGTTGGGTTTTGAACCCGCCTGGCTGGTTTCTGAAAGCCAGGTCCTATCACCACCCTGTACTGTCAAAGGCCAGCCACACGCAGTTGTTAATCATGTTAATCATTAGCCTGCTGCTTTGTCTCCTGTGTTGGACACAGATTATTCTCCTAATTTTCCTATTATTTGTCCCTTTAAGCCCTAACTTGGGAGCAGTGACATGGACCTCACCCACCTCCAGTGTCCCTGTAAAAGTTGGCCTTCTTCATCAGCTGAAGTCCCCTGGCAAGACCCGGCATAGTTTGCCACTCTGCTTAGTAAAGCATGAGCACCACATGTGTGAGCCTTCCCCTTCATGCACAGGAGGATATTGCTATAGTAAAGCTTCTAGGCAGTTGGGTGGTTTCCTTCTAGGTGGAATCCTTAAGAAATAATGACCTGATGATGGGTTTTTCAATCTCAGCGAAGCTGACTTTCAGAACATAAAATCTGTACACACTTGGATATTTTTTTTTGGTAACAAAATTAGATGTAGCAAAAAAAACAAAAACCAAAAAACTTTTCATGCCGCTTCTGTAAACCACAATCCCCACAAATGTCAGCTCCTCCAGCCCTCGCATGCTTCCAGGCCCAGTTCAAGGGTGTTAATGCTGCCATGGTTTTCCTAAAGCCATGGCTGAATCGCCATCACAATGATCAGCAGACCTGATCTACTTTTACATTGGACATTTATTGGATTGAATTGCTCTAAGATTTGGCTCTTTCTCCGGCCCCCTCCTGGAAGGTTAATTATTCACGCTCTCACATTGGAACAGAGGGTGTATTATCACCATTGCTATTTGTTCAAAATGGCCCAGCTGAAACTTCTAGGTAGCATTACATCTGAATAGCTATGAATTTTCACCTATAATTGAGAATGTTTTTAATGACTCAAGGTTGGGGTTTGTAACTGGGTATCTTACTTTTCTCCTATTTTGTTTTTTATTTTTATTTTTTGGTGGTCATGGGGCTTGAACTCTGGGCCTGGGCGCTGTCCCTCAGCTCTTCAGCTCAAGGCTAGCATTCTACCCCTTGAGCCACAGCGCCACTTCTGGCTTTTTCTGCTTATGTGGTGCTGAGGAATCTAACCCAGGGCCTCATGCATGTGAGGCAAGCACTCTACCACTGAGCCACCTTCCCAGGCCTTGGTGTCTTACTTTTATAGATGAAACCCAAGCAAGCATTGACAAATGACCCAGGAGGGAGCCTGATCTTCTGATTAGAGAGGTCTGTTTTGCCACCTCAACCTTTGAAGTCTTCTGCTAACTGGAGAACTTAAGCCAGGGTCTATAAAATCTTCCAACAATGACGGGACCCTGAGTGTGGGACGAATGCCAGGTGACAGAGCTGAAGTGGTTACATAGTCACAGGAAGATGTGTTCTTCGAGAGGATACACACTCATTTTAGATGCATTAACCTTTCTTTTTTCATCAAGGTGAAATGAGCACAAAAATTTTACTGCATGTGCGCATCCGTGTGGTGTGTGTGTGTGTGTGTGTGTGTGTGTGTGTGTGTGTGAGTGTGTGTGTGTGTGTGTGTGTGTGTGCGTGGTGCTGGCAGTGAACCCAGGGTCTTGTGCATACTAGGCAAATTACTACTAAGCTATTCCACCAGCCTCAAATGAACAATTTTAAAGCAAACCACTCAGTAGCACTTAGTACCTTTACAATATTGTACCATCACCTGTGTTTAATTCCTTAAAATAAAAACCCGTGCTCGTTAAGCAATCAGTCCCTAGCCGGTTCCCATGTCCCAGATGGTGTGGAGGGACTCTCGGGGGAAGACTGGGTTCACAGCTGGCTGCATTGATGGGAGCTTCCTTCAGTCCGCTGTCCTGGCTTTCCATGCAGCCCTGACCAAGACCATGCAGAGAGTTCCAGGACAGCAGGGACACAGCCAGATTCCTGTCACCTGCCTTCTCCTCTCAATGCTTCTACTTCTAATTCTGGATTTTTTTTTTTGAGGGGGGGCACGTATCTTGAGCTGGATGTTTTTTTATTTTCTGTTTTTGCCAGTCCTAGGGCTTGAATTCGGGGTCTAGGCACTGTCCCTGAGCTTCTTTTGCTCAAGGCTAGCACTCTGCCATGTGAGCCACAGTGCCACTTCCAGCTTTTTCTGTTTATGTGATACTGAGGAATCGAACCCAGGGTTTTATGCATGTTAGGCAAGCACTCTACCACTAAGTCACATTCCCAGCCACTGGGCTGGGTTCTTAAAGTGTGGCTCTTTGTTCTGGAAGAGGTTGAGTGGGGCCCTGTGCACATATAGATGCTGCCTATGGATGGAGGCAAATATGCCTTGGGTCCACGTGCAAGTGCTAAGCAGCATGGAAACCATCTGGTCCCTGGTGAATCAGGTGGCAGGGTTCTACTGGCTGTGTGCTGGAGCGGGAAGCCCTGCTCTGTGGGCTTCTGATAGGGCTGGTCTGCAAAGGGAAGCTGAGGCAGGAAGCTCACATGGGGGTGGTGGGCCCAGTGCAGCCTCCAGGGGAGCCATGCGTGGCTGGCCTCAGGGCCCTCCTGGATCCTGCATACCTGGGATTCTTGGAGTATCATGCATGCTGCCTCCAGTCCAGTACCCCAGCAGGAACACAGTGGAGGACCCGGATGCAGCTTTTCCTAATAAGGAATGCTCTGTAGGGGAAATTCCGGCAGGGCAGCACATGACTGCTTGCCATCTGTCTGGCCCAGTGCAGTGACCTTAGCCAGGCAGGAGTGCTGGCCTGTGGGGTGAGGTGGGGAAGGAGGTGGTAGTAGGGAGCCATGGATGGGCAGTCACCTAACTGGCCTGTATTGTCCCTGACTGCCCTGGGTCTGGAAGGGCCGGAAGCTGGGCAGGGTGGATGAACCTTTAAGGTTGTCCTATGCCAGCTCCTCACAGGACACTATTTCTTTATCAAGAAATACCAAAGAAACCTTATTAGTTAAAAAAAATCCTTTATTGTGTGTGTATGTGTGTGTGTATACATATATACATAAATATATATATATATATATATATAATTTTTCTTGATAAACATAGTTGTGCTGGTAGCTTTAGTATGGCCTTGTTTGTGATTGTTTGGGTAAATGCCCAAAAGTGGGATTGCTGGGTCATAGGGGAGCTCTATGTGGAGTCTTTTGAGGAACCTCCATACTGCTTTCCAAAGTGGTTGAACAAGTTTACACTCCCACCAACAATGGAGTAAGGTTCCCTTCTGTCCACATCCTCTCCAGCATCTGTTGTTAGAGCCAGGAGTGGTGGCTCAACTACTGGAGAATTGCACATTGGAGTTGGAGGCCATACCAGACAAAGTGAGCAAGACACTGTCACAAAAATAAAATAGCAACAGAAGAGCTGGGAGTGTGGCTCAAGTTGTAGAGAGCTTGCCTAGCAAATGTGAGATCCAGGGTTCCATCTCTAGTACTGAAAAACAAACAACAAACAACAAAGGAGATTTGAATGAGGATTAAAACAAAACAACACAAACAACTGGATCAGCAGGTAAAACCAAACACAAAGCCTTGCCTTAGCTGGGTGGGTTCATCTATTAGCCAGTGAATCCTGCTTACTCTTTAGGAGTTGTTGTTGTGTTTTTTGTTTTTTTTTTGAGGGGGGAGGCTTTTTTTATTCTTTCTGGGAAACTGAACAGAGGATCCAGTACTCCAGAGAAGACAGGGGAGACCCCAGGCCACTGCAGGGCCTGGCTCTTTCTAAAACTCAGTATCTGGCTGGTATCTCACATCCTGCCCAAGGAAGGGCTGTTGCCTCCCAGAAAGCCTTCCTTTGGCTAGGGGACTCTGTTCTTCCCACTCAGGGTGGCGGAGTGACTCACACTCTGCCCTGTGTGGCAGTCAATGACCCCTGCACTATGTGGGCAGAGCATAGGACTCACTGTCTGTCACTTCCTCCTGCCACCCTGCAAAAGATATCAGGAAAGATACTAGCTGTGAAAGTGCCTGGCTGCCACACCTGCCCAGAGCCAGCCTGTCCCCACTAGTGTGCACAGGACAGGGACCTCAGCACCGGGTATGCCGCAGTGGCAGGTAACTGCCCTGTTCCATCTTGCCATTTGGCTCAAGGTTAAGAATCCAACACCTGTCAGGGCCTTCTCCTCTCTTCACAGTGGACTGCTAGCCTTGGATGGGATGAAGGGCACTGGAAAAGTGAGGGGCAGTACACACCGGCTTCAAGGGAGACTTCAAGTTCAAGGTGAGGCTGTGAGATGAACCAGAAGCAATGCAATTGGGCAGGCAATTTTGGATTCCCAACTTAGAAAGAGGACTCACCTCGATACTTGTTACTCTAGTTTCAAATGTCTTTAGCACCAGCCACTGGTGAGAGTAGCAAGAAAGAGCCATGGCTGCAGGTGGCCCCTGATCAGATGGGATTCTCCCCCCAACACACCACACACACACACACACACACACACACACACACACACACAGAGTTTCCAGAATTGACTGGGGACAGTGACAGCTGTCCTGGGGCGGAGACTATGATAGATGATGCCTGGACAGGTTAGACAGGAGGCCTGGCCTGCACACGCAGAGCTGGGAGTCCACCGCCTGCTGAGTTCCATGCTGGCCTTGGTAGGGACTGGCTTTCTGCAGAATCAGAAAGACAGAACATTATTATGTACGTGTCATTCAATCAAAACTATTTTCCCCTCAATACTGAATTAAAAAATAACCACGTATGTGTATATTTGTGAAATTTAACTATGGACCTATTTATGGACACTCTGATTATTCTCTACAAATAAACAGCAGAAAAGAAAGAGAGAAGCAGAGCTCCCTCTGCTGCCGGGACATCCACTCTAGAGAGCTCTTCATAGGAGGGAATTCCTGTCCTTCCAGCCTTTCCTTTTTATCACTGTCCTCGTGATAGCAGACTGGGAAATCTTACAGCATCAGGATGAAGAGGTCAGCTGCCAGTAAACACAAGGAGGCAAGAAGCCAGAGCAAGGACACACAGAAGAACAATTGTGCTGAGTGACTGCCAGAGGGAAAGAGCCTCAGGGGACTCTGCCCACAAGCCAACCACATTTCTTTCTGCTCCCTTAAACTGGATGCGCCCCTCCTCCACCAGTTCCCTACTGTTAGGTTTGGTATTTGTGGTTATTACTAATTTTTTTTACAATGAGGAAAAAGATGCTAAAATTAATGAAGGAAAACGCTTGCTCTTTTCCAGTTGTATTTATGCTGAATGTATATGTGTACATTAATTTGTAATGTGCCTCTTTCTATTTGATTTATTTTGCTTTTAATTTTTGCTGATATCGAGGCTTGAACTCAAGCCTTATGTCCTTGCTTATCTTTCTCGTTCAAAGCTAGCACTCTACCCCTTGAGCCACTTCCAGATTTTGCTGGTTCATTGGAGACAAGAGTTTTAACACACTTTCCCGTCGGGCTGGCTCTGGATTATAATCTGCCCTCAGCTTCCTAAGTAGCTAGGATTACTGGTGTGAGCCAACAGTGCCCAGCTCATCTCTATTTGAGATGCTTAGTTTTTATATAAACTTAATTGTGTGGATGTTTCTGGAAGAGTCTAGCATTTTGGATCAGTGGACTGAGTCAAGTAGATCAGCCATCATGAATACAGACATTATCTGGTCTCTGTCTAGGACCTGGATTGAACTAAAAGGCAAAAGGGTAAACATGCTTTCTTTTTGTGGCCTGCGGCATCCATGTCTCCTGCCCTGTGACATACAGCTCCTGGATCCAGGATTCATAACAGCTCCCCTTCGCCCCTCCATACCCTTCCTGTTTATCAGGCTTTCTGCCTCTCCAACTCAGAGGCAGCAGATAGTGGGACTTTTTGACCTACAAAATTGTGTGAATCAAGTTCTATACTAAATCTCTGCTATTATTTAGCTCTTAAATGAACCCCGTAAGCTTGCTCCCTAGCCTGTGACAATTCGACAGGAGGTGATGGAGCCTTTAAGAAGAGGTGCCCGATGGAAGTTAGGGTCACTGGAGTGTGTCCTTGGAGGGGATATTGGGACTTTATCCTCTCCTCTCTCTTTGCTTCCCAACCACCATGAAGAGAACAGACCTTTTCCACTAGCTTTTACCATCGTCTACTGGGGTCACCAGAGGCCCAAGGTAACAGGCCACTGACCACAGCCAAGCCTTTCTCTCTCTCTCTCTCTCTCACACATTGCTCAGAACCGTGCTTTTTATAAATCTAACAATATTTTCTGGCAATTACTTCATCTACAGAGAGCGTTCCCATTTCTTCTGCATAGCTCTGTGGTGTCCCACTATGAATCTCACGTGGTTTATGCAGCCAGCCATTTTAGGATGGGCATGAAGATTGGTTCTAATCCTTTAGCATTGCCAATCGTATCAGAATGAGCAGCACATGCTTACATTGTTTGCTTTTGTGAAGTTGCGTCTTCAGACAACTTCTTAGAAGTGTCATTGCTACCTTAGAAGGTGAGAGCACATTTTTTAGGCAAATTCTCCCCATGGCTCTAGCAAGGGGCTGTTTTCTTTCATCAAGACTATTATACAAGTCCATTAAAATTTTCTGTCAGTCTTATAAGCAAGAGATCATATTTCAGGATAGTTTTAAGTTGCATTCTCTGACTATGAGTAAAAGTGAATATTGTTTTAAATACTCAAAGCCATTTAAGCTGGTGGCTGTTGGCTAACATCTATAATCCTAGCTACTTCAGAGGTTAAGAATAGGAGGATTGAGCTGACCTGGACAACATAAAAGACCCCTATTCCTCCCCCCCCCCCCCCCCCCTGCCGCCAACACATAGTGTCATCTCAATGTTCTTGGGAGTCTGAGATTAGAGAGACTGTGCTACTAGGGCAGCCTGGGCAGAAAAGTCCTGAGGACTGTCTCCATGGAAGGAAGCAGGACTCAATGGTGTGTGCTTGTGATCTCTATGACAATGAAGGTCCTGTCAGTGGATGGAGACTCAAGTGCATACCCAAGTGGGAAGCAAGATCCTATCCTAACAATAGGGGTGAAAAATAACCGGTGGAAAATGGGGCTGGAGGTATAGCTCAATGGTACTGTGCCAGCCTAGCAAGCATGAAGCCCGAGTTTAAATGCTAGGACTGCTCCTACTACTCCTCACCCTCTCCCAACTTACAATTTGATTCTTCTATGACCTGTATACACCATCATTATTTACAAGCTTGTAGTCTAATTTTTAAAATTGAATTCGAGTCTTTCCTGGTGTGAACAAAATTAACTTACATCTCTTAGATAGATATATATAAAATACAACATGAAACCAACAAGGAACTATGATAACATGCTTTTTTCCTCCCTTCCCCGAGAAACTCACCCTAATCAGAAGCACTGGTGATTCCTTACATCTTAACCTTTCTCTAGAAGTACCATCTAGTCAGCTAGAGTATTTTGGCACCAAATCATCACTTTGGTATTTTCAAAAACCTTGGTCAGTCTGCTGGTTTTGTTAGAACATGGTGTTAATGCAACAAAGCTTGCCGTTTCCCTGGCCATCTGTGCTGTTTGGCTGCGCACTGGGAAAAGCTGTTCTCCAGCCAGCAGAGGGACTGCCCAGCTGCTGCACATTCAGACAGAAGCCTCAAAAGAACACCCTGTGGGCAAGGAGGGGCAATGACGTCATCTCCACGCACAGTTTGCCCAGGGGGTGGATACCTCAAGTCCTGGCTCTTTGGAGGCCTGATGTTGGGTCTGCCTGGGAAAATGCTGTGAGGTCAGCAGCCAGTGCAGAAGGCACATGTGTCATACAGGAAAGCCACCAGAGCCCTGACTCCAGTAGCTCTAAAGATGGCTGCCCTGGATGGAGGGAAGTGGGGGTCGTACTGATGTGAGTCACTGCGCTAGTGATCTACCTATTATTCCACAAGAGATGCCACATGAAAGGCTTAAATGAACATAGACTACTCTATGTTATTATCCACATGTTTCAGGAGCCACTTGGCTGGGTGGGAGTTGGGGAGGGGGGGGTTAGGGTGTGTTTCTTTCATGGTGTTATGGCCCAGATGTCAGACAAGGCTGCAGACCCCTAAGTTGTGATGAGGCCAGGGGATCCCAGTTCCAGGATGGTTACTACTACGGACCAAGTATTTGTGCCTCCCCTAAATTCACAGGTCCATATAATTTTTCTATTTTTGGAGTACTGGGGATTGAACCCAGGCCATATGTTGAATTTGAATTGACAATAGGATGACATTTAGAGGTGGGACTCTTGGGAAATTATTAGTTCATGAGTATGGGGCCTTTAGGAATGAGATTAGTGTCTTTTTTAATAAGAGATCTCAGGATACTCTATGGGACACAGAAAAATGTCAGCCATCTGTGATCCAGGAAGTAAGCCCTGACTAGCCCCTTGCTCTTGGTCTTCTCAGACTCTGGAACAGAGAGACACATTTCTGATACTTGTAAGCCATATTGTCCATGGGTTTCACTTGAGACTGGCTAAATACAAGCTGTCTGTGTGTGTGTGTGTGTGTGTGTGTGTGTGTGTGTGTGTGGCGGTGGGGGGGGGGTTAATCAAATACAACTTCCAGGGAGAAAAAGACTATAATAAGCTGGAAACCACACAGCCTAGATGCTAACACTATAGTGAAAAGATCATAAACACCAGGGTATTTAATAGTGTGCCCCTAAGACCACATCCCAGGATTAGGACTCAACTAGCTGAGAATAAAGGCCACTCACCAACCATGTCAACAAAGATCTACACATTCATCCACACATAAATCAACTGCCAGCCAAAGTAAAATTCAACATTCTTTAAAGGAAGACAACAGAGATCCTTTCAATATTTGATTCCAGTGCACTTTGAGTTTTGTTAAATGCTTTTTCCACAAGCCTTTAGCTGGCCTCATAGTTTTTGGTGACAATGTTTCTTCTAATATGAGAGTCAGGGTAATAAAGGACTTTCTTTCACAATTCTAATTCAATGTTATATTGGGGTCCTAAGTGCAAAAAAATGCAAGAAAAAAGGAAGTAAAAAAAAGAAAGTAAAAAAGCATAACTATTGGGAAGAAAGACATAAAATGTGATTGTGAACATAGACTATATCTTGAGATTTTATTAAAAGCTACCCAAGCCCCAAAGGAAATGATATGGTTTGATATGATTTGATATAATTTGTGCCCTAAAAGTTTACATGCTAGAGGCTTGGTCTCCAATATAAAAGTATTGAGTGGTGGTGGAACTTTTAAGTTATGGTGGTATAGCCCTGTAATACTAGCACTCAGGAGGTTACGGCAGAAAAATCCAGAGTTCAAGGGCAGACTGTGCTTTATAGAAAGACTTTGTCTCAAAGAACCAACCAGCCAAACAAACAAAGCAACAAACAAACCTCAACATAAAACAAAACGCCTCACGCAAAAGAGGTGGGGCCTAATGGGAGGTTATTAGGTCATTGGTTGCTTGCTCTCTCGCCATGTGAATTCTCTCCTACATGCATTTCCCCCATACGATGCCATCTACCATAAGACCCTCACCAGAAGCCATTCCAGTACCATTCTCTTAGACACCCAGGAACAAGAGCTAAGTAAACCTCTTCTTTATAACGTATCCAGCACCAGGTGCTTTATTAAAGTAATATAAAATACCCTATAAGCATGAATCTAGAAGACACAAAGACAACTATGTCTATTTATGGATACAAATAATTGGAAAAAGAAATAAAGACTATTTTCTTTGATATTATAATATAAAAAGATCAATGTCTTAGGACTATACATGTACACATATATATTACAAACATATCCATATAAACTACATATATACATATAACAAACCTAACACATACATTATTAACTATAGTGCATTTCTCAAAATAAGTTACATAAACTCCAAATGTATGCAGGAAGGCCAAAGTAATTTTGGAAAACAATTTGGAGGACTTAAACAACTGACTTCAAGACTTACTACAACTGTAGTCATCAAGATACTGTGATGGAGCCGGGCGCTGGTGGCTCACGCCTGTAATCTTAGCTACTCAGGAGGTTGAGATCTGAGGATCGTGGTTCAGGCCCAGAGTTCAAGCCCCATGACCGACAAAAAAAAAAAAAAAAAGACACTGTGATGGGGGCTGGGAAGGTGGCTCAGCGGTAGAGCGCTTGCCTTGCATGCATGAGGCCCTAGGTTCGATTCCTCAGCACTACATAAGCAGAAAAAGCCAGAAGTGGCACTGTGGCTCAACTGGTACACTGCTAGTCTTGAGCTGAAGAGCTCAGGGATAGTGCCCATGCCTAGAGTTTAGGCCCCACAACCAATAACAACAACAAAAAAAGACACTGTGATATTGGCCTAGGATAGACATACAAATAGAGCACTTGATAGGCAGGTGCTCTACCACTTGAACCACACATATCTCTCTTTTACACTGGTTATTTTTTAGATGAATCCATTTTTTTTTGGCCAGGCTGGGGCTTGAACTCTGAGCCTAGACGCTGTCCCTGAACTCTTCAGCTCAAGGCTATCTCTCTACCACTTGTGTCACGGTACCACTTCTTGTTTTCTGGTGGTTAATTGGAGATAAAAGTCTTACAGATGCTCTTACTCAGGCTGGCTTTGCACCACAATCCTCAGATCTCAGCCTTCTGAGTAGCTAGGATGACCGGTGTGAGTCACTGGTGCCTGGCATGAGTCCATTTTTGTTTTGACCTTTGCCTAGAATACAGTTAATCTATTTTGCATTTCCAGTGGTAGCCAGGATGGCAGGTGTGTATTACTCCATCCACTTCTTCAGTTGGGATGGAATATTTTCACCTTTTAAGTCCAGGCTGGCCCAGAACTGTGATCCTTCCAAACTCAGCCTCCCAAGACACCAAGAATACTGGCACAAGCCACCTACTTTTAAAAATAGAAAAACTTTTTTTTCCCCCAGTCCTGGGGTTTGAATGCAGGGTCTGGGCACTGTCTCTGGGCTTCTTTTTTGCTTAAGGCTAGCACTCTACCATTTGAGCCATAGCATCACTTCTGGCCTTTTCTGCTTAGATGGTACTGAGGAATCGAATCCAGGACTTCATGCATGCTAAGCACACTCTACCACTAAGCCACATTCCCAGACCCATAGAAAAACATTTTAACAGACATACTGCAAAAAGAATAAATATAAGACTGGCCAGGAAGCCCACAAAAGATGCATAATGTCTCTAGTTTTCAGACATGCAAATAAAAACCATAACATTCTATTATGATAATAATTGGGAGAAGAGAAAGTTGAGGTCCTTACCACAGTGTACAAATTCTTTCCTAGAAAATGATTTCTTCCATAGTCTTCCAGGTGCATCTGTTCTATCCCAGAGAACAAGAGCATTAGGAATGTGCACCATAATGTGGCTGCTTTGATGCAGCAACCTGGTTGGAGCTTGGCTGGCTTCCTGTTTTCTTGGCTGGTAGCTGAGGCAGGGAGTATCTGTGTGTGGAGTCAGGAATACTAGGGTCATGGGCAGAGCTGGGCAGCAACTGCACCTACCTGTTACATCTTCTGCAGGAGGGAGGTGAATGGTTAACTGGTCACACACTGCTGGCATCCTTCAACCTTCTCTACAGGTTTTCCCAGGCTGAATTCTGCCAGCCAAACTAAAAGTCTCAGCAAAGGCACAGGGCAAGGCAAATCCAAGTGACTGCTAAATAGTGAAAAGCAAAGCCCTTTGCAAGAGGCTTTTTGCACAAATGCAATGTCTTCTTGCAACCTCAGGCACAGCTGCTCAGATTGTCCAGCATCCTTGCCAGCTAAGGTCTTGGAGCTAAGGCATGAAAAGGAAGCCATTTGGAAGTGTGCCTTGAACAGGTAGGGAAGGAGAAGGCAGGGTAGGGAATTCAGTGAGTCCTCCTGTCAGTCCCATCATACTGATGCAGGAAGGGAAGGACTCAGCCAAGTCAAGTTCTCACCTTAACTACAAGGAGCTGAGCTCAAGAAGAGCATGTGGCAGCAGGTGTGAGGAGTTTCAGGAATGCAGAGAAAGGGCACTGGACCTGCCTGCTTCATGAGTCTTGGAGATCAGGAGCAAACTAAATTTCAAGGCCTGGGAAGAGAAGAGGGAGGGTCATAGAGACGCCTGGAAAGGCAGACTGCAAACGATTTGCCAAGCATTTAATGTAACATTGAGATCACTGGGCTACAAGGAGGGAGCTGAGGAGAAGGCCTGCTTGTCTGGAGAACTGCGTGTGCTTTGAGGCTGAGTGGACAAGTAGAACAGAGATGACAGGATCCTCAAGAGTCAGGAAGGAGGGAGGGGCTAAGGTCATACGCTCTCTGTGTGTGTGTGGGTGTGTGTGTGCGTGTGCGCATGTGCGCCCAAGAGGCTTGAACTTAAAAGGTTTAAGCGTCCTGGGGCTTGAATTCAGGATCTGGGTGATGTCCCTGAGGTTTTTTTGCTCAAGACTAGTGCTTTACCACTTGAGCCATAACTCTACTCTGGCTTTTTGGGGGAATTATTTGGAGATAAAAGTCTTTTTTGCCCTGTCTGGTTCTGAACCACGAGCCTTAGATCTCAGCCTCTTGAGATTATAGGTGTGATTATAGGTGATTATAGGTGTGAGCCACTAGCATTCAGCTTTCCCTTACCTTTTATGCTCCAGACTGATACTCTACCACGTGAACCATACCTCTACTTCTGGGTCTTTGGTGGTTAATTGGAAATAAGTGTTCCATGCACTTTTCCTGCTTGGGTTGGCTTCAAATGGTAATCTTCAGATCTCAGGCTCTTGAGTAGCTAGGATTATGGGTATGAGCCATTGGCACCTGTCTCCTTACAGATCTTTAGAAAGAACAGAAAACATAAATCCCTCTTGAAGTGTGCATGTAGTGTGGACAGACTTCTCATTAGCATTATGACTGGAGACAGTCAGAAGGGAGGGAAATGAAGGAGACATTGTGTAGTGTGAGATGATAAGGAAATCGAAGCTATTGTAAAATCTGGAACAAGTGGTAGTGCAAAGAAAGACACCTAGAAGGAAACAAAGACCATGGCTGTCCCCTTCCCCCTGAGTCTGAGTAAATAGGTTAATAGATTAATATTAATGACTCTCATAGATAATAGGATATTTAGTGTCGTTTTTCACTTGTTGCTGTTATTATTTTGAATCTCTAGGGCAAAGTCAGAGATCATCCTTTTAAGTTGATTCTGTAGGGTATTTTTAAAAAAATTATTGTAATGAAAGGCTGATTAACAGGGCACATACATATCAGTAGTAATCACCTGGAGGAGTGCCTTTAGATTTTATTACGGCTTTTCCTGTCTGGAGATGTTGTTCACAGAAGGCTGAAGCGCCCAGCGGTTCCCAAAGCTGTTTGTCATTACCCAGTTCTTCAGGTGGTAGTCATAGGTGACACTTAAAAGTTTTGTTACCAGTACGTTTTGAGAAACACATGAGAAACAAAGGAAATTACATTGCCATCTGAGAGTTAAACATAAAGAAGATAGCCAGGCACCTATGGCTCATACCTATAATCCTACCTACACAGGAGACTGAGGTCTGAGGGTCCTAGTTTGAAGTCAAACTAGGCACACAAATCTGTAAGATTCTTCTCTGTAATTAACTAGCAAAAAGCTGGAACTTGTGCCATGGCTCACATAGTAGAGCATCAGTCTTAAGCAAAAGCCATGTGAGAACAGGAGACCTTGCTCTCAGGAGACCCCGAGTTCAGGCCCCAGTACTGGCATACACACATGTACGCATGCGCATGCTCACGCATACACAAGATAAATCCATAATGGACGGAATGGAGATAAACAAGTTTTCTCTGGTGGATGGGAGGAGGGAGGGTTCCTAGGTCTTCCAGGGAATGTGCACACCTCTCAGAATGGCCTCTTTGGTGGGACAGCTTGGGTTTCCTCATAACATGGCCCCCCAGCCACACTGGACACACGCTCACACTGGGTACCTTTGGTCACAGTGACAGCCCACACAATGACCAAAGGTGCCTGGTGTGAGCATTCCTGTGAACAGTGTGGAACTGTGCTCTATGATTTGGCTTTGGAGTTCACCGTACTCTCTGTGGCAGTCACAAAAACCACTGCTTTCAAGAGCAGTAACACTTCTTAAGGAGGGCAGTGTCAATCGAACAATGTTCAGGAGAGAGGAAAGGAGCAATGTCACAGCCCCCTTGGGAGAATCCAGTCTTCTACACCAGCTTTGGCTGAGGGAGTGCCTCAGGAGCTCCAGGGGGGAAAAAAAATCAACAAGGATCATTTTTTGGTTTCCCAACTTAAAATTCCTTAGTGCCTTGGATTTTGCTCATTTCTTTTTAATTTGGATCTTAAATAAGAAGCTGATTGGGAGAGAGCTAGACAGATTCCAGAAAAGAAGAATCTTGTACTATGACCTTTGGCAATGAAAGCACCGGCAAACAGAAGCATCTGGAAAGAATGTCTTCAGGGATTTGAAATTGGCCATGATGGGTTTTTTTTAAAGCTACTGCAAAACCAGTTTTCCTAACACATAATTGTGCTGGTCAGCCTCGCGGGAGCACAAGGAACAGAAAGCCAGTGGGGTTCCACAGCAGAGCGCTGATGTAAGGGGTGCATGCACACTGTGGTGCCGTGATTCTAGGAGACTGAAGGGAGATTGTATCTCCCAGCACATGCTCATTCTTTTGGAACGAGGTCTGGGTTCATCTCTGGACCAAGATGGATACCTTTTTCCTCTCTTGGGTACCAGAATCCTCTGCCTAAGCTTTTTGCTCTCTAACAATTCAAACCTTCTTTCACCCAGGCCACTTTATTTCAGCAACGGCTTCCATCTGTGCATCTTCCTGTTTCTAACTGAGCTCTTGATTGTCTATGTTATAGGTCTGAGCCCAGCCACACAGGCCCTAAGTCCTGTCAACGCTGACCACTTGTCGCAGTTAGCCCAGGAATCCTCTAGTTTTAGCACTGAAAGTCTCAAGTCATGAGAATCCCCTCACTCATGTCTCTGGGAAGACCACCCTCTCATCCGGTGCCCATCCTGGGCCAGACCCTCCAGAGGAGGTGAGAGGATCACCTGGTATCCAGCGGGGCCATCGTCTTTAAGAGGGGGTGGCGAGATTCCCTGAAGTGAGGTATGAGTTGGGCCAGCAATGATCTACCTCTCTAGTTAAAACTGTACCTGGGTGAATTACTTATTAGATGGGAAGAGATTGAGGTATTCTAAGTACACATGTTGCAGTTTGCTGTGGCAGGAATGGCAGCGAACTAGAAGCGTCTGTCACTGAGCAGCTTAAAACCCCACAGCCAAACCACCCATCTTCCAAGCCTCTGTGTCGCTCTTGGCAAAAATCAAAATATAGGACTTTAGGGCTTGCTTCCCTGTTTTATTTTTGTTCTAGAATTTCAGGTCTAGAGAGCAAAGTCCAAACACAGTTGGCTCTCAACATGATTAAATTCTTCCCTTTCCTTCCCTACCTCTCTCCAGCTCTCTTCCCTCCCTCCCCAACTAGGTATATAGTTTCATAAGGTATGATCATTATTTTGTGTATGTGTTTTAAGATTTGTGCATTAGGTTATTCTATAGTCCTCAGCTGGTCCCTAAGTTTTGCTCTGTATCATTAAAAAAAAAAAAAGTCTCTATGGGAACCCTGGTGCTGGTGAGCACATATGTAATCCTGGCTACTCAGGACACTGAGATCTAAGGATCATGGTTCAAAGCCAGCCTGGACCAAAAAGTCTGTGAGACTTTGATCGCTAATAAAAGGCCGGAAGGGAAGGTATGGCTCCAGTGGTGGAGAGTCAGCCTTGAATAAAATAGCTAAGAGTTTCCTGACACTGAGTTCAAGTCCTAGTACCTGCACCAAAAAGAAATGCCCCATGGGGTTGGAACTGGGTCTTCACGCTCCTTCCAGGGTGCTTGCCATTCAGTGAGACTGCTCGGTTACCCCAAATCATTTTTACATTGGAATCAAATGATTGGTGGGCTTTCTGGAGGGATCAAGGGAACAAGCAGGTATGACCCCAAAGTTGTATGACTTTGGTTGGCCTGAGGGGGACATGCAGAGGACATTAAAGAAAATAACTAAAGCATGTGATGGCCAGGGTGGTTTGAGCACATCTTTGGGCCTGACTCTCTCTTACATCTCATTAGCCATGTAAGGTCTGGCATTGCTAAAGATCTCAGCCAGACACTGACCTTGATGGTGTGTGTCTGCTAGGCCTTACTGATCTCCCCTGGGCAGCCAGAACATGCGGCTAGAGAGTTCCTGTGGTTGTGAATGGAGCAGCATAGTGCAGGCCCAGCAGCTCTCTTGGTGGTGCTGAGGATTCAGGAGCCATGTGGAGCTGGGAACAGGGCTGTGGGTGGGGAGCAGCTGTGGGGGCTCGGCCCCTCTGTCACTGCCTGCCAGCTCTGGGGGAGTGGATTTCGTTTCAGGCAGCAGGGATTCACCCTGGGTGGCCTCTGCCTTGCCTCCCACGTCAGTGCCACAGGCCCAGCAGGCCGAGGAGAGCTCAGCTCTCAAAGGAAAGCAGGCCTTCTCCTTCCCATGT